CTGTTCAAAGGATTCTTCAGTTTCTGATATGATTTTTTCCTTAACTTTAGTGTTGTTTAATATTAAGTTTTTAAAAAGCTTTGGATATGTAATATTTTAGCTACCTTTCCATTTTTATTTGTAATTTAATAACATTATAGAAAAATGACGATTAGAATTTATTGAGGCACTTTGGTAGATTTAGTATTTTCCATGTACTTAAAAAGAATACATGTATTCTCTGTTGTATATGTATTGCTAGATATCTGAACTAATTCAAGTTTATTACTCATGCTTTTTATTTTTTATTCATGTCACTGTTTATATTTTGTCTGTTGGATTTATCTGTTATTCCCCAGGGTAATTTTAGTTACTGCTTCATACATGTTAAGCCTATATTTTTAGATTCATGATTATGGTATCTTCTTGATACTAGTATGTGACATGTCTTATTGTCACTTTTGATGTTTCCACCTTTGAATTTTATTTTATCTTGATATTAAAATTTTGATAGACATTCTCACATTGCCTTTCAAAGAGGTTATACTCATATATACTTCACTTGACTTATACTGTATGAGACTCCTTTCGCCCCCACATTCTTCTGTGTGACAGATTTTAAGGCCTATACATTCTAGCTTTCTGTCTTTATTGGTAGCTTGGGAAACTGTACTTGATGCATAGTTCTGGCACTTTTAATCTTAATTTCATTCACTGCCTATCATATTCTGGTCACAGTCTCATTAATTGGGTCACTCCAAATAGCATCCTGACTCTATTAAGGATTGTGCTTGGAAAATTTGACTTAATCATCTATTAAATCACATTTTATCTTTCCTGATGGAGTTGCCCCAGACTCAGTTTTCTCTGAGGACAAGATGGACCCAGCTTCTTACTCAAATGTGTCTTCCCTTGGAGTCCGCTATGGGCAAAGTGTAGACTGGTACCTGCTGGCGTTACCCTGCACCAGTTGCAGGCATGAACATAAGCGACTGTATTCTGCTTGCTTACTTTAAATTGAAGGGCCACTCAGTTCAAGCTTCAAGGAGACAGAGGGCCAGGGGGTGAACAGCTGACTCTCTAATCTGCTGCTTTGTTGTTGATTCTGCTGGTGAACCCTCATGTCTGAATTTACAGTGTGATCTGGGGGTGCTAAGCTCCACTGATTCCCATCACTGACCCTGGCCTGAATGACTCTTGAATTCTGCTACTCTTGACTGGGAAGCTGTCCTGAAGTTTGCTGCTACCCTAAGGCCATTATGTGACATCTTTTTTAGGGAGGTAGAGCCCTTAGGGAACTCGTATCTCTTGCCCCCTGTGAGGTTCCTCTTAACATTCCTCTCACGCTTTGTCTGCCTTTCTCTCCCCCACCTCCCACATGCTGACTTGGTGCTTTCATAAATAGCGAGGCTCCTTGAACAACTTCTATAGAAGCTTAAAGGTAACATCCTTTGCATCTACAGAGCATTTTATATTCTTCAAAGCACTTCCATCTACATATTATCATTTGATCCTCACAAAAAACTCTTTCAGGTATTCAAGTTAGGTGTATCACCCGGATTTCACCGGTGAGGTAATAGAGACGTGATTAGGTGGCTTGCCCATCCTTAAGTGCTTAGTTAACGTGGAACAGGTGTTAGAACGCAGTTGTTTTAGGTTAATGAACTTATTTATTCATTAATTCACACACTCATATTTTACCAAGCAGAATGGAAAGAGCAAGGGTTTGGGGGACAAATTTTTTATTTGAAACTAGATGCCATCCCTTGTTGGCTGTGTGATCCTGGTCATGCACTTAACGTCTTTCTCAGTTTCCTTGTTTGTGAAATTGGGGAAATTATGATTTATAATGTTTACATGTGACTTAACAATCCATGAAAGTTACCTGGCAATGGTAGTATACGGCATATGGTAGGTTATAGGTAAATTGTTACTATAAACATGTAATATATAAAATAGGTTACTAGTATAGGTAAAAAATGGCCAAATACTGACAATTTTATAATGGTAGAAACTCAGTGGCTGCCATTTGTTGAGTCCTTTCCTGTTGTATCCCAGACCCTGCTAGACTCCAGGAACGCAAAGACAAGTGAGGCAAGGCTTTCTTGTGTGTCTGCATCTTCTGCTAGACTGTGGTCCTGGAGGAGGAGCCTGTGTCTGTTGTATCCCCAACTCCAAGTGTCTGCTGGGTAGTAGGTGCTTAATAAAAGCTGACCTTACTGACAAGGTCCCTGCCCACCAGGAGATTACCAAGCAGTTAAGACAGGCAGGTGCATAATCACATATTATAATAAACTGTTCCAAGCGTTTAGATAGACACATCCAGGCTACGGTGAGAGCACAAGGGAAGTGATGCTCAGTTCTGCCGGGGAAGGGGCAGTGTGGTGGAGAGGAGGGGGCAGAGTTTCATAAAGCAGGTGTCTAAAGACTGGTCTGTCGGTGGAAGGGAGCAAAGCCACTTTGCTTATCTTGGACTACAAGCTTTCTCTTAATGCGCCTCCTCCTAAGGTGTAAAGTTGAGTTTATATTCACGGTGCTTCTCTGTTTGTCTCGCAGTCCCTCTGTTGCCGGTCTCTCCCATAATGTATTGCTTTGCAAAGTGCTTTGTTGTGTCCTGAGTATAAAAGAGACGCTCAGGAAAACCAGATTCTATTCTTTGAGTGTCACAACTAGCCATTGCATAACAAAGTGTAATATATTGTGTGAGAAGAAATAGAGGAACCTAAGAGATATTTGAAAGAGAGCAAATAAAACATCAAAGTCGGGGAGTGTAGAGTGCGTTAAAGTTAATAAACTGCCATGGCAGACTGGACCACTTTTCAGTGTGAAGGTATCTGCTTTAGTGACTTATGACTGTAGGATGAGAATCCCGTTGGAATGAAGTTAGCTGCTAGTTTTGCCAAAGTCTAAATCTTTTGGTTCTCCTTGAGAACCAGCCCTTGAAACTTAATATATTATTGTTATTATTATTTTTCCAACCGTTCTTTGAGGTGGTAAACCCATCTGTCTTCCTCTGAGTATTCAGTACTGCTCAACTCTGTAGAAGGCTGCTTTGCTTTAAGCTCGGGGAGGAGGAATTCGGGCCCCAGGTGTCCTGCTAGACTGGGGACAGCTCGTCAGCCTGGTCCCAGGGCTCATGTCGTCCGTCCCGTTTGCACAGAGACTCAGAGATGAGGAGATTGGCAGGAGTAAACTTTGCTGAGGCGTGAACACTGAGCTACTCGTCTTACTTGCAAGAGACGGACGAGGCCGTGGGTACAGGGCTCCTTCCTGGCGGAGTGGAAGGATGACGGCAACAGCAAGGGTTCCAAAAGGTTTTCTGCCAAGAACCGGATTGGATTTTGCGCTTCTTCAGCCACAGAATGTCCCCAGCATCTTATCCCGAATCATAAATGCTGTTTGCCGCCAGTCTGCTCAGCCCGACCACTTCCTAATCGTTCTTGGTTCAACACCCTTATTATTGTTTCCTTTTTGTTAGCTGAACTCTCAGAGTTTTCAGGTTCCTAATGTATTACCTTTTCTTTTCTTTTTTTTTAAATCCAAACAAGCAGGGAATACGAAGCAGCATTTTCATCCTTGATTATACTCTCTCTCTTTGGAAAAGAATGAAAACCACTGATTTTGGCTTTGGGTACAGTTTGTAGACTGTTTCCTTGGAGTATAATATACTGTGTGTATGCACTGGCATGCTGTGTTATACCATCATTGCCTTGGGAACATTATGTAACTGTTTTGAGCTTCAGTTTCTCCATTTGAGAAATGGGGATAAGATGACTAATTTATAGGGTTTCTAGGAGAACTAAAGAGATTGCATAAGAGGAAATGCCTAATATTGTACCCAGCACATACCAGAGGTACAATAAATGATTATTTAACACAAATCAAAAAACAACCTAAGCAGGACCAGTTTAAGGGAAGCTCTAGGAGAATGGTGAGACATGAAAAGAGAAATGACCAAGCTCTGTAGCGAGCTGTGTCCACAATCTGGTGCAGAATGTGACATTCTGGGGCACACGTGGAAGTAAAAATGCAGGAGTCATAAAAGGTACAGAGTGGTGAATTGCATGCAAACATGAAGTCAGTCATTTCAGGAAAGTCACTGTGTCAGTAATTTAATAGCATTTGTCCAAATCACCATATTTTGATGCATAAACAGATGGGAGTAAAACTATTCCTTGTAATACTTGGTGGTGTAAGAGCAACATGATGTGATACAGTGGAATGCAAATTGGCCTAGAAGTCAGAGGAGGGGTTTCTGTTCATTTCACTTAATGAGTTTGCGGTCTTGGACTTCTTAGCTTCTTTGAGCCTCAGCTTCAACATCCATAAAAATGGTAATAATAGTGTCTTTCTTATTTCCCCCCTGCCGGGTTATTGTAAGGATCAGTTGAGATGTTTTTGAAAGTACTGCCAACTTACGGGTTGTTTTTTGATTTAGTATTTAAAGTCAGTTGGGTTGCTGAAGAATTTTAGGCTCTTGCCTCTTTGAGATGAATACAAAGTGAAGGCAGCAAGAATAGGGAGCTGATGTATCTGTAGCTTCCTGTGTCCAGCTGACCGGGACCCTGTTTTGTTTTAGCCCCTGCTGAGACCATTTTGTTGCTCACTTTGCCTGGCCTTTGCCATCTTTTAACCCAAAGAACAGTTCAAAGATGGGTTGTGTACCTGGAGTCATGCAGCAACAGCCAGACCCCTTCTTGGAGACTCCTGTGTTTGTGCACTTGGCATAACTACCTGGACCACTTACATCCTCTTCCCCTTGTTGGTCTCCGTCTGTTTGCTGCTGATGGCTATAGCCATAGCATCTTTTGTTGTCTCAGGGATGTCTGATGTTTTTGAAAGTTTTTTTTTCCCCTCACTTTGCTGCACGAATATGAGATAAGAAACTAGGCTGGAAGATAGATGTTAAGTTTGATGATCAGTAAAAGGAGATAAGGTCTTGACTTGCAGTATCCATCCTCTTCCAAGATGGGTCATGTGGTGTGGGTTGTAATGTAACCACTCTCTCTTTGTGTTTCTAGGGAGTCGACGAGTTGAAGATGAAGCCCAGAGCAGAGTGCTGTTCTCCCAAGTTCTGGTTGGTGCTGGCTGTCCTGGCCGTGTCAGGCAGCAGAGCTCGCTCTCAGAAGAGCCCTCCCAGCATCGGCATTGCTGTCATCCTTGTGGGCACTTCGGACGAGGTGGCCATCAAGGATGCCCACGAGAAAGATGATTTCCACCATCTCTCTGTGGTGCCCCGTGTGGAGCTGGTAGCCATGAACGAGACAGACCCAAAGAGCATCATCACCCGCATCTGTGATCTCATGTCTGACCGGAAGGTCCAGGGGGTGGTGTTTGCTGATGACACAGACCAAGAAGCCATCGCCCAGATTCTTGACTTCATTTCAGCCCAGACTCTCACCCCCATCCTGGGCATCCATGGGGGCTCCTCCATGATAATGGCAGACAAGGTAAGAGGGGCAGCAGTGAGTAGATCCTGGGGGGTGTGGCGTGTATTGAGAGCTAAGTGATGCATCTGTTTTAATGCAAAACTTGACTATGAAAGATGGAGGGTAACAGGATGCACTGAGTGGATAGACCAGGAACTAGTCTAATTGCTTGGAGACAAAAGGGAGGGAAAGACGCTGGTTTCTAGAAACTCTTTTAGTTTTGAACAGGTTTGTGTGTCTACTTGTTTGTAAACGGAGTCACTGAAAAGACTAGGAGATGTTGAAGCTCGTAACTATGTGATACATTTTCTTCAAATACGTGTATGAATAGCTCCTTTAAAACTTTGCAAAAGGTGTGCTGTATTCTTCCTTGATAATGCGTGCTCTCCCCACACACCGGTTTTAAGAATATAAAAAGAAAAATCCCTCAAGGCAGGTTATTTCTCTCCTTGAAGATACAGACACCCTAGAGGAGTACTTCTTGCTAAGGTGTCCATGCTCAACACACATCAATCTGCACATTTGAATGGATTTTAATCCATAGAACCAGTCGCAGCTGTTTCCCCCAGCTGAGCTTTGAAGGCAGTGGTTCATAATCTTGATTGCACCCAGGAATCCCCTGAAGAGCTTTCCACACACCCAATGCCTGGGTCTCGCCCCTAGAGATTCTGATTGTTGGTCTGGGGTACAATCTGGGCTTCAGGATCTTTAGAAGTTCCCCCAGATAATTCTAGTATGCAGTTAAAGCTGAGAACCACTGCTTTAAGGCTGTGAGTAAATCCTAGTCTTTCCTGTATTAATATTAGATTAATTGTCTCATGACAAGGTAATTATCATGTGACATTGATGCTTATTCTCTAACTGCAGAAATAGTGTTTTGTTTGTAGTTGTGTTTTGTTTTTACATTTTTCACTTCTTGGGTTGTTTTTCCTTGCTTTATACGATGATTATTGCTTATCGTTAAGGTATAGCACTTCTCACACACAGATTGTCTTTGCAGTCATTCCTGTCTGAAGATGATTCATTTCACAAGTGTGGTTTTTATTGTTCTGTATCGCTTTGGGTTTTAAATTGTTTCTCCTTTGCATTGTCATCTTATACTTTTTTAAGCGTCACTTTCAAAACTACCTTCAGTTTTGTACTCAAAAGACATGCTGTGGGGTTAATGATGTTTGCAAACACCTCAAAACCTAGCTCAGACACCACAAGCGTGCTACTTGGCCGGTTGAGAACCACCACAGCACAGGACTTAACAGAGTAACATAACCTTGCGTGATCACTATCGCCATCTGTCGGCAGCAGGCAGAGATGACTAATGTGTTTTGGAGCTTCCTTCATTCCGTCTAGGAAAGGTCAAGTGGGAAGTGCTAAGTGGAGGAACTTTAGTAGCGTATGAGAAAGATATTGTCCCATTCAGATGGTTAAAGGCACAGGTAAAGGTGTTAGAGAGAAAATGCTGCCACAAGGAAAGAGGGATAAACTTACACAGAATGGAAAATATAGATTGACTATGGCAAGACCTACTGAGTTGTTGCTTCAAATAGAGTTTTTTTTTAAGCATCATTGTCCTTAGCAAATTTTATTATATTTTAGCGGTGGTGTTTTGAGGGCACAATATGCCCTGAAAGAATGCCAAGATGGATGAGCCAGAGTTTTGAATCATAAGTAAGTGCAAACTTACTTTGGGAGCAAGACAGGTGAAAATAATAGATTGATTGATTTAGCAGATACTGGCTATTGTGCAACCTATTATTTCAAATTCACCTCAGTATGAAAGGCTAGTGGCTAAACCAGTTGGTTGATTCTCTGTTGTATCTCTTACAAATGCATAAAAACAATGTAATAATATGAAGAAGGATGCAGACCATGTGGAGAGACTGGGCTCTTTTGTTCACTGATGTACCCTAGGTGGTTTAGAGCATTTACCATGTGCTGGGCACATACTGCTTTGCATGCATTATCTTATGTAATACTCTAACAGCCCAGTGAGCTAAATGGTATTATTTATCTCCACTTGACATAGGGAAGCTGAGGCTCAAGGGGTTAAATAACATATCCAAACTACTGTAGCTGGTAAATGCATCCAGGACTTGAACGCTGGTTGCTGGCTGCACAGGCCACGTGCTTGATTGCCTCTCAAGAAAATGGAGAGGCTAGTTGAGGTCTCACATCCCTTCCTCTCTCTACTTCTTCCTGTTAGATAGCGCTGTGGTGGATGTGATAGGATGAAAAGTAATCCATCGCTTGACTCATAATGGCGATACTGGAGTCCACCAGGAGGAGAGGAGTAATGAGTGAAGAAGCGGGATGGTGCTCAGGTGTAGCGTAACTCCTTAGGGGGCCCATCGGCGGCCACTTCTCGGGGTAAAATGGAGGCTGGAAGCCAGTGAGGTGGATTCTTCTGGGTCATTGTACTGAGATCCCCCTCTAGCCTCTTTATTCTCTGCCCCCCGCCCACCACTGCAACCACACCCAAATGTCCCTTTTTATCCTTTTCTCTTCTCCATCAAAAAAAAAAAAAAGGAAGCTGGGCAGCGATTTTTAGACATGCTCCTAAAATAGCCTACATAATATCTAACTGACTTCTGACCTGAAAAGACAAGATTCTAAAAGGTAGGTAGAAAGAGGAAAAAGAAAAAAAAGAAGCAAGAAAAGAAGCAAGCAGGAGGTCCTAATGAGAGCTGAAGGCTCAGCCGAGGGGCGAGAGGCCCATGGGCAGCAGGACCACGGGGACCGGGAGGGTGGCAGCTCTGACATTCTGGGCAGCTGTGCAGAGGGACGTTCACAGGCTTACAGGTTTGGCCTGAAAGCAAATGAAGAGCCATCAGATCTCAAGGAAGTAAGCTTTGGGGACAAGTTTCAAAAATAAAACACCTCCAATTCTAAGGCCATTTTTTTTGACAGAAGTTTATTTTTAGTACCATGATCATATTTTACAAACATAGAATGGGGACGCAGAGTTTGACAACTCTGAATCAACTATGGGGCAATAGGACAACACATTTGAAAGTGGAACTAATGCAGAAAAATCTAAGAAATACAGCTTTGCTGCGTTTGAGGCGTAGTCTTGAGGGTACAGTCACCATCTGAAGGATGACGAATAAGGCTTACAAGTTGCTTCCCCTTCTAGGAAACAGGTAATTTCTGCTCTCTCCTAACTCAGTTGGTTTTTGTTTGTTTCAGGTAAAACTCATTTATTAAGTGTCCTCGGGGAAGTGTGGTTTAGAGGGATACATTTCCTCATTTAAGGAGTTTGTGATGGAAGAAAGCACAATTAGTTACGAAGATTTTTTAGCAAAAGTTGGGAGTCATTAGTTCAGCATCTGGTCAGATAGCCTGTGCTCGCTTTTTCGCACAGCTAATCAGTGAGTGCAAGCGCGGATCGCGCTCTGCTTTCCCACTGAGGGCGCCTCGTTACCACTGCGGCCGGAAGAAGCGCAGGGGCCGGCAGAGCTCCTCAAGGCTCGGACTGCAGAGTCAGAGCAGTGCTGACCGTCACTTCCCAGATGTGGGGATCTGGACAACTGACCAACGACGTATTCTAAACCTTGGTATTCTTGTCTGTGTAATGGGGATAACAGTATATCCATTACAGAGCTGTTGGAGATGAAATGAGATAACCAACAGCGAATGCTTCACTAAGTGTCCGACACAGCATTCGGTAGGGTAAGCTGGAGGTTGTATGGAGCAGTTTGAAGAAAGGGAGAGGCTTTATGATTCAGGAAAAGGATGGGAATTGAATAGAATCACAGCCAAGTACAGAGACACTTCTGAACTGGAGACCAACCAAGAAGGGAGCTCAGGAGAGACCCAGGGAAGGGCTCTGAAGCATGGGTGGAGCCACTAGGGACGTGTGGGTCTTGTGGGTCCTGCCCGACCAGGGAAGCCAAGGCTCCCTGCAGCTGTGCTGGGGCCAAAAGGGGCACATTCAGTTAAGGAAAAACTCTGACAAGGAAAGAACTCCAGGCGCTTGTAGCAGAAGACTGTTTAGAATAGTAAGAGAGACAATTTAAAAATGTATGAGGTGATTTTTGGCAGTTCCCCACCTGAGTATAAAGAGTCTATTTTATTTTGCTTTGTTATAATTGCTTTTATTCTCCCTGAGGTCTGGGATTTAGGATGCCCATCTGAATCCAAATAATGAACCAAAGCTAGACATACTTTCATTTCTTTCCAAGAGGTTTCTCTACTGATTTGCTGAAATCTTTCTTGGGTTTTCAGATTTTAGCTCAGAGAGGTTAAGTAACTAATCCAAGGTATCATAGCTTATGAACAATGGGACTGGGATTCAGATCCCAAAAGTATCTACTTTGAAGCCTTTTTGTTCGTACAATTCTGCCCCACAAAGCACTGAACTAAGAATTCTAAGTCCTGAGTTTTAGTCTTCATCCTCAGAAATTTTGGAAATTTAGGCAAACAAATCACTTCAGCTACATGATACTCAGTATCTAGTTTATAAGATTTAAATTTTGTTTTCTGCCTTATCCACTTTACAGCATTTTTGAAGATAAAGTGAAGTAAAATAGTCGGGAAAGTGCTGGGTGAACAGATACTTTAGGTGAAGGAATTAAAGAGTGGCGATAGGAAATGACAGTCGTTGACAGTGACAATCATCTATCACTAGCATTAGGACCAATGAAAATGGCTAGGCAGGTGGTAGGAAGGAACACAGAAAGTGGAAATTACAGCAGGATCAGGCAAAAGAACAGAAGATCCGATCTTTAATGCGGCAAGAATGGAAGAGAAAAGGCGGGCCGATTATAGGGGCAGGGCTCTGGAGGTGGATGGGTGGGCCAGAGTGGAGTACGGCAGCGAAGACATGTGTCATACCCTCATCTCGTTCCTCCCTAAAGGGCAGGTGAAAATATTCTTCCTCTGGCATCTGTTGCTATGATTTTCTCATTACTAACTTGCTTGGTTAAGAATTAATGAATCTGAATAGCGCTGTCATTTCCAGTGCAAGAGAGCCACGTTTTGGAATCCAACTGTGGCCAGGAAGACGGCGCCTACTCTTCCTTGGT